CCGTCTACCACTTTGTGAAGAAATATTTTTCCAATATCCCTTTTAAATTGTTTCTTATGTAGCTGAAATTTATGACCTCGTTCCTACTGCTGCTTCTCTAAGAAATCCTCCTGGTAAATTTTTCACATTTTATGTATCTGTGTTTAATATATCTTTTCTACTTCGCCTTTCTTCCTTTGGAGACGTATCCGGTCGTCTTTGTTTTCCTTCGAGTCTTCTTTTATTTCTTAAATACAATAATTGTGCACTCGTGTGTCTCCTTTTTTGTATTTTACTTGTTTTGTTATGGAGGAGCTACCACAACAACATAGCCCCATATACATATTATGGGGCTAATATTGTTATTAAAATAAATTATATCTAGTATATTTTTGAGATTGTTTCAAAAACATCCTTTATAGCATAACAGTTTTTAAATGCTCTATATTTAGCATTTGGTACTGAAAATTTAATATTATAATTAAGCGTTTACAACTATTTTTATTATGTAACAGACATGAAATATAAATTTCTTCATCCATTTATAACTAATATTCGATTTCTCTAAATTCGTGCGTAAAATTATTATTATTATGTATATATATATATATATATATATATATATATATATATATATATATATATATATATATATATATATATATATATATTATATATATGTATATATATATATATATATATATATATATTATATATATATATATATATATATGATGGGGTCCACCTCTGGTGTAAATTGTAAGCACCCCTCAAGGGAGGTTCCTGGACGCTGGTGAGGGGCTCTTGATCTAGGGAATTGGATCTATGCTCCGGTTCCCTGAATATGCCTGAATACCTTCCAACCCCCCCTCCCCACGCGCTGTATAATCTTATGGGTTCAGCGCTCCCCATGATTATAATGGATTATTATTATAATAATCCATTGTAAGCAATAGTAACAGGGCCCCAATTATATATATACCGTCCTATTACACATCCCTCCAAACTGTCAATATCCCAAACCCCTCATTTTAAGTGCAGGCATTGTACTTCCCATTTCCAGAACTCAAGTCCGGCTATATAAAAATAACCGGTTTCCCTGAATCCCTTCACTAAATATTATACTGCTCACACTCCAACAGATCGTCAGGCCTCAAATACCATTCGTTTCCATTCACTCTTATCTAACACGGTCATGCACGCTTGCTGGAAGTCCAAGCCCCTCGTCAACAAATTCTCCTTTACCCCTGCCCTCCAACCTTTTTGAGGATGACCCCTTCCCCGCCTACCTTCCCCTACAAATTTATACGCTCTCCATGTCATTCTACTTTGATCCATTCTCTCTAAATGACCAAACCACCTCAACAACCCCTCTTCAGCCCTCTGACTAATACTTTTATTAACTCCACACCTTCTTCTAATTTCCACAATTCGAATTCTCTGCACTATATATATATATTATATATTATATATATATATATTATATATTTATATATATATATATATATATATATATGTCGTGCCGAATAGGCAGAACTTGCGATCTTGGCTTAAATAGCAACGCTCATCTTGCCATATAGGACAAGTGAAAATTTGTGTATGCAATAATTTCGCCAAAATCATTCTGAACCTAACGAAAAAAATATATTTCACTGTGTTTGTTTAGTATTAAATTACTGTAAACAAATCTAAAATATATTTAGCTAGGTTAGGCTAAAATAAATTGTTCTTGTTATAATAAGGTTAGGTAAGTTTTCTAAGATTCTTTTGATGCAAAACTAAAAATTTTTACATTAACATTAATGAAAAAAATATATCTTTAAATGTATTGGAGAAAATTTTAGATAGGAGTTATTTTTAATTGAGTTATTGCTAATTGATCAGTTTTACATATTCGGCACGACATATATATATATATATATATATTATATAATATTATATATATATATATATATATATATATATATATATATATATATATATATGCAATAAGATCACAGTAAACAGGTATTTCAAAATATGCAAAACAACCACTCTGAAAGAATAGAGAAATTCCAAGCGCTTTCGTGACTACTCACATTATCCTTGATAATGTGAGTAGTCACGAAAGCGCTTGGAATTTCTCTATTCTTTCAGAGTGGTTGTTTTGCATATATATATATATTATATATATATATATATATATATATATATATATATATATATTATATATATATATATATTATATATATATATATTTTATTTTTTTTTTATTATCACACCGGCCGATTCCCACCAAGGCAGGGTGGCCCGAAAAAGAAAAACTTTCACCATCATTCACTCCATCACTGTCTTGCCAGAAGGGTGCTTTACACTACAGTTTTTAAACTGCAACATTAACACCCCTCCTTCAGAGTGCAGGCACTGTACTTCCCATCATATTTATATATATATATATATATATATATATATATATATATATATATATATATATATATTAAATAAACAAAATACATTTACAGAAAAAAAACATAAACATGAATACAATGGCACAATGTATCAAAGATGATGAATTTCCTCCAGCTCCTCCGAGGCTGGACGTGAGCCAAGTATGCAGCAAGCATTTCCCCTCTGGATGGCGACGCTGAGGCGCTGGAACATGAAAGTGGCTGCCCTTGGGTCCCTGGTGGTGTCGATGAGTCTGGAACCCAATTCTTTAAGGAAACGTGTGGCATTTTTTCCCCATGATCCCAAGGTCTCTGATCCCACTGGGACAAATTGATACTGTTGGCTAATGTCCCTGTACTTGCTGATCTTGTACTCCTCCCTGTGGTCAGCAGCTCCTCCCTGTCGCCCCACACTGTGATGGATATAGGTGTCAGCAGTGTGGACACAGGTATAGTCCATGCTAAGAGCTTGCCATTCTTCCAAGGATAGATGGTGATCCCGTCGGGGCGGTTTGCTGGGTTGTGGGTATTGTTTGCTGCAAGTGATCGTGGCTCCCTCTCGGCAGGGCATCCAGCTGTAGCAAGGGTTCTCTTAATGATGTCGTTGACCTCTTTGTGTCTTGCATGCCAATATATATATATTTATATATAAATATATATATATATATATATATATTATATATATATATATAAAATATATATAGCTAAGGGGGTTTCATTGTTTCCTGGCTGGTTGAAACCTGTGAAGTTACACAGAGTGATCCAGGTCGAGTGTCATCTACACCATCAGTCATGGATACTTGAATCCCTAGAATAGGATTTAAAAGGAAAGTTCTTGTTTATAGACAGTGGTATAACCTTCAGTATTTTATAAACATATCTAAATTGTATGCATACAAATGTATTAGTATCTAAAAGTGTCTTTTTTACTGAGGCAAATCTTAGTGTAAGTACTGCTACTCTCATTGTATAATTGTAATATGTACCTCAATATATATATATATATATATATTATATATATATATAATATATATATATATATTTATATAAAATATTATATATATATATATATATATATATATACGTGAACCCATTAGCTATAGTTATGAAAATGTAATGCATTTACTAGAAGACTAGTAAGACACGTGCAACAGTTAGTCTTTATCGTTGATACGTGTCCGGTACTCGGCAGCCTCTTTCAGTTTCTCCAGTCTCCATATTTATTCTTTTATTTGACTGAAGAATCCTACTGTGTAGGCGAAATATTTCAGCAGTAAAGACAGTCAACTATTGGACATGTGTCTGACTTACCAAACTCGATGAGATCACTTAGTGTCAGGTAAAGGGAAGGTTATCTGATATAATCTCTGGACGGGATGGGTACCTCTAGTTCCCAAGTCATAAGCAGAATGAAGGCACATTTCTCTGAAATTTGCTCAATTTGTCAAAAAACTTCTTGTATAATTTTCTTAATTTCATTCTCTAAATTTTATTTTTGCAATACTTTCGGATTATATTTACATTATTATTTTTGATTATCATTATATATTATTTGACTATTTTTATTTTTAATATTATATTCATGTGGAAATGCTAATTTCCTAGAGGTTAATTAATCATCTTAGTAATGGTAAGTAATCAGGGTTGATTCAAGGAGTGTCCTTTACTAGCATTCACTTGCTTAAGTAAATGCAATCTCATAATGATTTTTCTTCCTATATAGCATATACAACTGCGGCAATACGTAGGAATACCACGCAACATATAACGTGAATAAATCATTTCGGATTTGATAGTTTTTTCAAATTGATGTAGTTTTTTATGTAAAGTCTACTAATCTACGTGTTTTCGCTATCCAAAAATGTTATACTCTCATCTTATGGCCCCTGGAAATTCACATGCTTGGTTTACCCGGAGTCGCTTCATGAGGTCACCGTCCCCGATGACCGGTCCCAGACCAGAATCACAAGAAGCTGGGAGTCTGTCTCGTACTTAGTGGAGGCAGGATAGAGCCTTCACACATGACTCGTAGATCAATCATTGCATTTTCGACTTAAAACCGAACGAATCATGTTCAATTCTTACCCGGGACGAGACATTGTATGTCTCTCCTGACACCTACGGTCCTATTCGTCTTGACGAAAATAATTACCTGGCTGTTACTCAGTTGTTGTGGGTCGCATTCCGAGAATGAAGACCAAACGACCCCAGTGTGAATAAGCCACATTCATTGTCTTTCTCAGATTTTGCTGTGTTACTAACTCTCCGAGGTTAATAATTTCCGGTCTTTTCGTCGAATGCCGTGAACCTCAGAATAGATAATCTATCTTGGGACCTAATAAGGACACTGCATGAAGTTCTTTCTTTTTGAAGTTAGAAGTTTTTATTTCTCATATCTGAATCAGTTTCTTTTAATACCTAATAGCCCCGTATGACCCTTACGGGTTTAGCGCTAAAGTTAATTATAATAATAATTGTAATACTTAAAACTATTTCGGGGGCCCAGGCACTTTTCCCAATGTATAATCCAAGCCTGCGCATACGGGCTTAAAGCATCTATATTAATGTGGTGTGTTGTGTGTGGTGCATCCCCAGGTAGCGGAGAAGAGGATGGGAGACGTGTCAGCGCCGCCCGTGTCTCCCCTGGTGGGTGTGTTCCTGGGACTAGTCGGTGGCTTTGTGTTGCTGCTGGTGGCTGGTATACTGCTCACCCGGGTGCGCTCCAACAAGTAAGTTTCTCAAGGTATTCCTGTCCTTCCCTTCCTTTATTATACTTGCACTTCCAATTGTTTACTAACTACTATTCATTTTCAAACTTTTCCTCTACTTTTTGCTTCTTGTTCCACTTTTTCATCGTCGTCTGTCTTGTCTTCTTCCATCTTACCTGTTTCTTCGCTTGTCCTTTTTTTTTCGTTAACTTTTAATTTTGCCTTCGTCTCAATTATATATTTTTATTAGGTATCCCCGAAATGGACACTATCTTGAACACTGTATTAACTGTCCGCTTATTGGAGAATACAGAGGTAGACAGTATAATAACCTGTTTAATATTTGGTATTTTAATGAAATTAAAATACCAAACATATTAAAACCAATTTCCAAAATCTTCTTGCGATAGATAAGTCAACTAAAGAAATAAATCCAGAGTTACTCCTGTTAGCCCAGTAAGTGTCTGGTTCCTCGGCTTTTAGTGTATCCATTTGCTCTTAAGCTACCATCCGTAGGATAACTATGAGGTTCATAAATAGTATGAGGTTTGTTTTATTTTGCTGCTTCGTTGAAGAGGTTACCTGTTTTTTTTTTTTGTTTTGTACATTTTTTTTTCATCCTACTACTTTTCAATTTTATTTTGCTCATAACTCGAGAATGCCTCATCCAATCGGCTTAAAAAAATTGTAAACCTATGTACAGTAACGAGGATCAGATTCTAAGAAGCAATTGGCATGTTCACTCACCTTATAGCCAAAGTTACTGAGCCCTTTCCCGGCATCCTGGAATGGCTCAGATAACTTTCAAAATCCTCAATGGCAGAGCTTCAATCGTTCACAAAAAATGGCAAGAAGTAGGGCGAGGGTGGAGAGTGAAATTCAGATGTGTAGAAGCAAATCTGATCATTTTATGTGTAAAACTGTTTGAAATTTTCATTCCCCATAAATCACGTTAAATAAATTTAAGTTTACTCCTGAATGTCATCAGTATTTTATGACTGATGCATCCAAGAGCAGGATAATACCTGTTAGTTCTGCATGCAGGTAATTTTTGACGTAATATATCCTCTGAATCTCTGCCAAACTGGAATATGACTCCATCTGATCAGTTTCAGATTTTCAACACTCTTGTGTCTGAACCCAAAGTTCACTTTGTATTCAATAACACAATACACACAAAAATCGCACACAGGAGAGACGTTCCAGTCACGGTATTGTGCCTTGTTCTTTGAGTTGCTTCAAAAAGTTATTGGCGATGTTTTAAATAATACGGATGAAAACCCGAAAGTTTTCCTCGAGTTAGTTCGTATTTGATATTTGACAGATATAGTTAAAAAACATTGAATCGCTGGAATCATATCAGTTACTGAAGAATTTCCTTTTTGTTCAATGTGAAATTTTTAACACTCTCTCACACTTTCAGAAGTCTAAATTTCCATGTTTATTTAGCAAATTGTTTCCTAATGTGCTTAATAACAGTGTTTGAAGCTGATCTTCTGACCAGCTTCAATCCCTAAATGGTTGTTTATCTTATTAAGGGTTTTTGTATTAGTTTTGGGCTGTGTGGGTAGCTATTATAAATATTTTGCCAGTTTCATGAATTGGGTAATGCTGTCAATTTGAGCTCATTATGTTGTGTTCGATTCATTTTTGTGCTTATATATTTATTTCCTTTGCGACCACCTCCTTTATCTTAGTCTTTCTCTCTTATTTCCCTTCCCTTTATTCCCCTCTTCGTTATTGTTTACACTTAGGTAGATAGGTAAGTAGATAGGTTGGAAGTTAGGTAGGAAGATAGACATCCTTTGCCTCGGTTGTCGCACCCAGCAAGCGCCTACACATATTCTGTCTGCATTTTTTTTACCCTCTCCAGTCTTTCTTCCCCTTTCTGCCTCATTTCCTCCCCTTACCGCCACCCTTTTTTCCTTATTTTTTTGGCACCCGATTTTTCGACAGCCTCCTTCTCCTTCTCTAACTTTTCCTCCTCTAACACAACTTTCTCCTCATCTCACTCCTCCACTTTCTTCTGCTCCTTTAACTCCTCTTCTTCCTTTTCGTCATTTAATTCCTTCTCGTCCTCTTCCTCTTTTTCCTCACTCTCCTCTGACTGTAGGCAATCTGACGCTCTCTCTCTCTCTCTCTCTCTCTCTCTCTCTTTTCTCTTCCCCCCATTTGCTTCCTCCGCCCACCATATCCTCCGCCATAACAAACCTTCCCTTATGTTCTTCTCCCTCAAGTAAACCTCATTATCCCTCTTTTATTTTTCTATCCCCTCCTGTGATCTCCTTTCTCGTTCCACACTTCTTCCTTTTCCTCTTACCTGCTTTCATTAACCTTCTCCGTCTATGTTGTCATGTCTGGCTCCCTGGTTTACACCCTAACACATGGTCGTTCCTTCTGCCCTTTCCCTGGTACACCCCTGGCTCATTAACATTTCCCCTCCCTCCGCGTCCCGTCTCCCTGCATAACCACCCAAAGCCTAATCCTGACTCATGCCTCTTTCCTCAGGTCTCTGCTCGGCACCCCAAGTCTCAACACTTTACACCCCGTTCCCGCACTCCCATCCAAGCTTATTCTTCCATCACCCCTGAACTACCTCCTACTTGCACCCACCTTCCCCGATCACATCTTCCTGGCACCCTCCCAGAGTTCCACTATACGAACCACTCCCTCGTGTTCACCTCCCATCACTACAACAGCTGACTTGACCATATATCTCACAACCACACCTCACATTCCCACTCTCACACACACACCCTCACTCTCACACTTACGCATAACCCCCTTCCCCAGCACACACAAACCAACACACATTTACACCGAATCACACGCTTACCCTTCACTTACCCTATTCAAAAATACACCACAATCCCACATTCACGAACACCCTAGCACAAGGGTACTTCACCTTTTTTACGACTACAGACCCCAAATGGATTGCCCAATATGTTCCCATACCCCCTTCATCAGTCGAAATCATCATCACCATTATCACCAGTCCTTTTATTTGCCAGCATGACTTCAATGGATGTCAGTAGTTTGGTGTTACATTTCATATGAAGAACAAACATCTCAGCCCACAGCAGGATTTGAACCTGCAAACTCGGCATCAGAGTACAGAGTATTTTATCCACACAGCTAGACCCTAGGCTGGCTGTGTGGATAATGTACTGTGTAATCTGATGTTGACTTTGCAGGTTCGAATTCTGCTGAAGACTGAGAGAAAATGTTTGTCGTTAATTTCGATTGCTTGCGAATTGTTAAGCATGAATAGCTACGAACAGAAGAGGTGATAGTTCATTCTCATTAAACTATTTTTTTAAATGTTCAGAGATCGAGTTCTATACCTTCATAACCAAGGGTTATGGATACCCTTGGTTAAGAAACCTGTGCTCTAGCATCATCGTTCCCACACCAAGACACTCTAGCGTTAACACCAACATGCGCACAGTCACACCCAAAAAATACATCCTTACACGCCCTCAAAGCTCCCTACACACCCTCGCACATAAACACTTCATAAATCACCTCACAAGCACCTTCGTATCTCTATGCCTGTTTATAGACCATATAAACCCGTGTTCCCGTGAGCCTAAGTATATTGTACGGCTTAATGTAACCACATTTGCATATTCATTTCCTGCGCAAGTACCATCTAATGCATATTTAAACGCTTGTGTATATGTGTGTGTGCATGTGTGTACTCACCTATATGTGTGGTTGCAGGGGTAGAGTCGCAGCTTGTGTGTGTGTGTGTATATACTCACCTAATTGTACTCATCTAGTTGTGATTGCAGGGGTCGATTCATAGCTCCTGCCCCCGCCTCTTCACTGGTCGCCACTAGGTCCACTCTTTCTCTGCTCCATGAACAAATCATGCCCCTTCTTAAAGCAATGTATGGTACGTGTCTCTACTACGTCACTTTCCGGACTATTCCACTTTCTGACAAATGTATGACTAAAGAAATGCTTCCTACATCCCTGTTACTCATCTGAGTCTTCAATTTCTAATAGTGACCCCTTGTTGTTTTGTCCCTTTTCTGTTCACATTGTCGATTTCGTTGGACATGCCCCTTAGCTGCGGGACTAGTCTCGTTGCATGCCTTGGTACTCTCTCTAATTTCCTGACGTGCTTGGCCAGGTGGGGGTTCCTAGCTGGGGCTGCATACTACAATATGAGTCTGACGTCCACTGTGTACAAGGTCCGGAACGACTCCTTACCGAGATGCCGGTTTGCTAGTCACCCATATGCTGCAGCAGTTATTTTGTTGACATGCGTCTCAGGAGATGCGTTCAGTATTATACACACCCCCAAGATCCTTTTCCTTGAGTGAGGTTTGTGGTTTTTGGCGCCCTGGACTGTATTCTGTCTGCAGTCTTCTTTGCAGTTCTCCGATCTGCATGACTTTGCATTTGGTGGGCTAAACTCCAGGAGCCAGTTCTTGGACCAGTCCTGCAGCCTGTCCAGATTCCTTGTCCTCCTCAGACTGAATTCTCCTCATTAACCTCACATCGTCTACAAAAAGGGACACTTCTGAGTTCATTCCTTCCGTCATGTCGTTCACATACGCCAGAAACAGCACTGGTCCTAGAACTGAGCTCTGTGGACCCTTGCTCGTCACAGGCACCCACTCTGACACCTCATCACTTACTATGACTCGCTGCTGCCTCCCCGTCAGGTATTCTCTGATCCACTGCAGTGCCTTGTTATACCTGCTTGCTCCTCCAGCCTTTGCACTGATCTCTTGTATGGAACTATGTCAAAAACCTTCTTACAGTCCAAGAAAACGCAATCTAACAAGTAGTCGCCCTGTTTCGATGGATGTGTTGAAGATTGTTGTTAGTGGTACTCAGAGCGGCTCTGCTCCCTCGCTCAGGACCCACGGAGAGATGTTATCTGGCCTCATCGCCTTTTGAGATCTAATTCGCTTAGCAGCCTCTTCAACCTCTTCCTCGGTTGTATGTATCGTGTCCAGCACTTGTTGGTGTATCCTGCCTCTCTGGCTTTCCAGAGTTCTTTC